CCTCCACCACCATCATCACTACATCCTCCTCCTCCTCCTCCTCCACCTCTCTCTACATCATCCTCCTCCACCATCTCCTCCTCCAACACCAACCCCCCTTCACCACCACCCCAATCACCACACCACCATCAACCTCTTCATATCTATACAAACGTCATTATTTACCCATTATCAAGGAAAACAAAACAGAAGATATTATTCACACAAATATCACTCGTGTTTGTGAAGAAATTACAAAAAACAACTATTATTCAACAAGAACCCGAACTGCCCAACAGGAAGCGGTATAACAACTCGGTCAGGAACAATGAAGAAACTGTGTAGATTTAAAACGCCTGAGTGAGAGTCTTTGCTGCTACACAGTTCCTCGAAAACTATTGGACTGCTGCTCCACAAGATGAGACGTCTCCTTGTTGATATAGTCTCGTCTATATACAACTAGTCTCTTACTCAGTATCTCTCCGTGTTCCATAATCCATCTCTTTACTTTCTCCTTTCCCTCCGCAAGCACAATGGTCAGTGTATCAATGATATGCAACTAATCATCTCCCCGCCTTCCAATCACTTAACGAATCATACATCAGTATTCATTGTCTCGTCGACTGTGGAAGTGTTCAGGAAACTCGAACTTCATCATCATTCACCGCCTTCATTCTCTCGCTTCATGCATAATGACTTCCTATCATTTCACCTTACGTCACATCTTTTTCTCCTCATATAACCCACAAAACTTACATAATAATATCCTATTTACATAACCGCCTTATCTCTTTCTCTCCCTCCCCCCTACATTTCTCCCTCACTTTCGAGCAACAGTGACGAAGGTATAATATGTTACAGTAAGCAGTGTGGTGGTATAGCCTCGCCCTACAGCACCTGTCTTGAGATAAAGTGAATGTGTCTAGCTCTACGACACTGCCACGGCCTCACTCTTTATGGATGGATGTTGATTGAAATCTATTTGACCGCCGTATAAACACCACGAGACCAAAAAAATAAATAAATTGCCTTTATTCTTCATCCTTTATCGTCTCAACGTGTTTTGATTGTTTACGCTCGAGCAAAAATGTACAAAGTACAATAATTTGATGTAAATGAAGTGTGCATTAAAGGAACCGTCACATGATAATCGCCCGGCCAAAAATAATCACTTTACATAAATTATTTTTTCTTGTATCATATCATATTACTGCTGTTCCGTCACTACTAAATATAAACATACAGCGTGTGATAAACTGCCCTTAACTGCACCACGGTAAAATTAGAAAAAGATTACTTTTTCACATCTTGTTTTTTTTTCTTCTTCTCTTATCCCTCCATCACTATTTCTGTCACTCCTAAATATAAAACTTACACACTATGATAAAGTGGCTTAAACTCAGGAACGGAGTCTGATTACACCTCAGTTTCACGCTTGGTTAAAGTGTGTCTTCTTTAGATGAACTAAACACGGGTTCTGTAGACCGTACCCACTATATGGCCTTACATAAAACAAAAGACACGTATAATTTCGACGAGTCTTATTAAAACGAGTTACCCTCTCACACGGATAGCTATTCCCGTTAATAAACTTACTAATTTTAACCATCACTTAAGGTTACATATTGTTACACACTCGTTAAGCATGAAATTTTTATACACCGCCTCCCTCCCTCCCTCCCCAGTCGCCGAGGGAAACGAGAATCGGTTGTACTTGTGGCCGGCCAGTTTATGTACTACATTTAGTTATTCCGGACGATATCTATGGCTTAACAACACCATACGTGAATACAAATTATGATCGAGTAATTGCCAATATGTCTGACTACTTAATATTAATAACTATAACCGTAATTAAACTCATCATCTACAGTACACCGACATATAAACATTAACATCAACATTATTAACAGCAAATTTACCAACATCATTAATATTAAGGTCACTGATACATAAAATCATTAAAAGGGGGCATTATCAACGTAATTAACGAAAACATCATCACCAACACTTTTAACATCAATACTAACATCAGCCCATCAATATTAACAATTAACGTCAGCATTAACATCAAATCAATATCAACAAGACATATATTACATCAAGAACAGCAATAGCAAACCTAATCGACAAAAAAATACTATCTACAACATCAGTGACAAATAAGGTTCTCAAAGGCTTATCAAAATGGAGTCAGATTTCTTTACGTTCCCCGGGGTACATCTGAGTCAGACCCTAAGACCAGATAAAGTTGACATCACATGACAGTGGGCGGAGTTCACGGACCGATAATCCCTACAGGAACATACACAATGGGGGGTCATCTGATTGGCCACCTTTTCTTGGCCACGATCCGGTGGTATTGGCCCATTAAGTGGCGGTAAGTTGGCCCTGAGCCAGCCAAGACCAGGATTCACCACAGGACTCGAAAAAAATATAGAAACCTGTTTGACATTCTCGTAAATTGTAATAGTTAACAATATTCCAAACCTGCAGTGTTGTTGTCTGTAGGGAGGGTCTGACAGCACGAATCACACACAGGGAGGGTAAAGATAAAACTTGGATCACCTGAAGATTAACCACCTCAGCTCATTTCACCCTAACACTATCTGAAGGGTTAGGATAAGATAGGTTAGTATCAAGGGTGGTTAACTTTAAGGTAAAATAAACTGGGGGGTTAATCTTAAGGTGACACTCAAACAATATTTGGCAATTTGACATGGTTTTTAACTTCGACTTGTCTATGTTTACCAAAAAAATTCGCTAGACAAGTGACATTAAAGTAACACAGGTTTTCTATGATCTATTTCACACATTTTTATCATTGGTTGAAAATCCTCTGGTCACGGGCCTAAAGAGAGAGGGTCATAACACACAGATTACTGGTGACAGGTAATACTGTTGTCGGAAGATCATATTCCAGGCACATAAACAACCTGTTAACTGGTGAGGTTAACACAAATAAACTGTCTAACCTGCAGGATGGACGTGTACACTAGTGCTTTCATGGACACGTTCACACACTTAAAGTCGCTGTATATACGCGTACACATTTATGCACGGGTGTAAACAAACTACTGTTAATAAGATGGAAACTAAAATGGCCTAAAATTTACACCAAGTCTCAACTGTGAATAAATGTGGTGTTTATTTAGTTAAAATATAAAAAAAATACTGATAAACTCAACATAAACTTAAATGTGACAGAGCATCATCAAGGGAATAAATATGACTTACAATAAAGCCACCAAATACCAAGTGTAAATAATAAACACCATAACGTAGCTTCGCAAAACAGTTCAAATTCACACAAAATATATATTACAGTATTTGTACGGGAATTTACACTTATTGAACACATGAGTAGGATTAAAACCTTCATACTTCAGGGTGTCATAAAATGTTACTAAATCAAGCAGTACATAATAAGATTAATAGGTACAGGTGTAGTAAGACCTCAGGATATGTATTCTTAAGAGTCACATATTATTTTTTCCTCTAATATCTATATACAAACGACCCACTGAAGCGACATCTTAAAATGGGATTGAAATTCAACTGAGGCTTATGTAATACTAGACATGTTCTTTTATCCACCCCCTCCCCCCCACACACAATGATCTTGCATCCCCAACTACCACCACAACCACAAAGTAACTCCCCAACCCTCCACAACCACGTTCTCCCTAACCCTCCACAACCACGTTCTCCCTAACCCTCCACAACCACGTTCTCCCTAACCCTCCACTACCACGTTCTCCCTAACCCTCCACTACCACGTTCTCTCTAACCCTCCACTACCACGTTCTCTCTAACCCTCCACCAATACTGCCACTCTCTCTAACCATCCACCACCACAACCACATTTCCCATAACCCTTCCATAGGTCTACCGCCCTGTGTGAACAAGTATTTCCTTATTTTCATTCTGCATAACTTGGCGAGCTTGTAGTTACAATATGTCCATCCTTATCAGGGTTACTAATCCTAAGGCTCTCAGTCTACAGGTACTTGGATAATTGAGATGACACAGTTCCAGAATCGTCTTAGTCGCTGTGTTGCACCTCTTCTAGTGGTTATATCCTTCTGGAGGTGAATGATTTATCACAACTCCATTATCTTTCTCCTTATTGGCAGTATCCAGGAAAGTGTTAACAGAATAGTTGTGCTTAGGATTGTTGTATCCTACGTGCAAGGTCTTGCATTTTGTAATGTTAAAAGAGAATTTGCCAGTCTCGAAACCATTTGAACAACGCATTCAGGTTTTCCTCATTGTTGTGACATCAACCTGACTTGCTACCTTTCCAATATCATAATGTCGTTCGCAAACTTGACAATGTGGCTCGATATATTTTCATCTATGTCGTTTACGTAGATAACAAACAGGGTGGATCCAAGGATAGGGCCTTGTGGCACTCCACTGAGAACCTTTTTCCATTCAGAATGTATAGAATGTACTCCATTTATTACCACTTTGTGTTGCCTGTTTTTGATCCAGTTGTTAATCCACATGAAAATTTTGCCTGTGATACCAAGTGCCTAGATCTTAGAGGCTAGTCATGCATGTGAGACTGTCAAATGCCTTGGAGAAATCCATGTACAATACATCCACTGGTGAGCCTTGGTCCACATATTCTGTTACCGTTTCAAGGAATGTGAGTAAGTTTGTCAGACAGGATTTTTCATGACACCTTGTTGTGATGTGTTGATAAGGCAGTGTTCAGTCAGGTGTTGGATGATGGCGGCCTGTAGTTTTCTGCCGCACTTTTCCTACCCTTCTTGTATACTGCAGTGGCTAAGTGGATACAGTGCTCTCCTCCCCTCAAAGGTTTGCTGATTTGTAGCCATTACACCTAATTGTAAAACATAATCCCAAATTTACAGGTAGGGAAGTGAAGAATATCTAGGGCAGTCTTGACTACACTGCCATCTTACGTGCTGATAAAAAGGTTAAGTCTACAGTGTGCTGTGTCTGTACTAGGGCGACTTACATAGCATTAATAAAAGATATAAAACACTGAACAAGGAAGAACCATTTATTTTAAATTATATAAAAATCAAACATACAGACGATCATCTTAAATCATTAGTGTAAATGCCAGCATTAAATGCATGATCACAGTTCTCCTGTGACTTCCTGACATTCATTCACCAATCCCTGCTAAGCAGGAAGCTATCACTGTATTTTTGGCATATATAAACCTTACTCCATCAATGTTAAATCCTGCCTAAAAGTTTCTCCTGTTAATAAGGTATTCAACTTTTAATTTATATTAACAAAATTGTTACAAACTGAATATACTGTTGAGATGATTAAGTTGAAACAGGATTACCATTAAGCAGGTTTATCACGCCATTTACCACACAAATTTCCTGGCTTTTACAGATCCAAATTTCCATTTCTATAGGCTCCTTTATATATTAATATAAAATGTTTGAGACTTACAAATAAAGGAAAAACTCTATAAACCTTATCACCTCTTACAGACAAACTACAGTATTCTACTCAACTTTATCATGTTATTGTTCTAAAGAAATAATTAAGACTATAATATCATTGTTGTCCTTTCATAATCACAACACTTTACTGGATATTGTAAAACATTATGTAACACAAAAATATGATCACTCTTACCATTTTTCAATAAAACAAATAATTACTACAAAAACACAAATAAAAATACAACTGTCAATAAGAAGGAAGCTGAGGATCACAAGGCCATTTTTTCCCAATAGCCTTTATTTTCCATGGCTAATTTCCATTTTTTTAGGTTTCAAAACAAAATTAATGCTTTCCAAGGTTACAGGGCTATTATAGATTTTTCAGTGCCCATTGAAGCTCTGATTAAAGTGGGACAATTCCCCATCAAGCCACAAAAAATCTGAGGGACCTTAAATCTGAATAGTACAGAAAAGTACAGTACAGTAATTAAAAAAAATGCAATTACAAAAACCATTCAAGAATATGTTGTGATGTAGCCACACACTCAGGTCTGACTTTAAATTCATAGTTGTTTGCTCGAGTTATTGAGTTCATAACTGCCGGCCGGACAGAGGAATGGATGACTGCACACATCAGTAAAAACCATGCATTCCGAGTCCCCTTCCTGGGATGGCCGGAGACAATAACCACACAGGAATAGTCCAAAGAGTCACTTAAATAATATGTAGTATTGTAAGACAGTATCAAAGCAGTGAATATGTGTACTGTACTAGGTGAATTACAGATACAGTCAGGTGTACCAGGAGGAAGGATGTGCTTAAGCAGAACGACTAAGCGACAATGCCAAATATATGAGGTGTCTTTTATAACGTGAAATAAAAAGTGCCACCTATGGGTTTAAATGTCCCCAAAACAGATGATATAAATGGCCTAATGTGCAGCCTTATTCTAACTATTTCTGTAACACTACCATATTTGCTATTAAAGACCCCCTCCCCCCATAACAGCTGACTTCATTCTAAAATCTCTTTCCACACAGGCTGCTAATTGGGGTAAAAAACAATATAATTTTTAGTTACCTTCTTACTGGTATAGCTAAAACCCCCTTTGTGTTGTTGTGATAATATTGATCAAAATATTATCACCATCTACAGTTATAAGCAGCTGGGTGTGATCTCCACTCATCAATATGAAAACTGCCTGGATCTTGTGTTCAATGATAATTCAGGTAAAGAAATCTAAAATAATCTCTCCTGAACTTTTTGAACAATTCCACTGGGTAGAGCTCCCTGAGGAGTTCTCTGAATTTTATAAGAACAACAATATGAAGAGCACAAGACATTTCCTAAGGTGGACCTTACATGCAGACCTGTAAATCCCAGCTGCTGTATCTGGATTTTATCTGTATTTGTGGTAGTTTATCCTAATGCACTCTCCAAACAACTGCAGTACAATAATTCAATCAGAACCAAGGAGATATCCTTTCTGACAAAAAACTGTCATGAAGACAGGTAAAGTTGCAATCAGTGTCTGATCACTGTGTGAGTGATACCATGTTGGCCCCACCTACTGGCAGTCACGAGGAACACTGATCAAAATAAGAGACAAATCTTACATAAGTAACCCTGAGGCACTTGTCTGAACACCTTTACTTCATTCACATAAGAGACCCAATGGTTGCCACAAATACTTTCTTACATATTTCATTTTAGTATATATTGGTACAGCATTGTACTGTAAATACTCTATAAACCAACCAATAAAAGATGATAAACCCAATAAATGTTATCATATGATCAGGAGAATGGGAAAGAGCAAAATGGGAATATCTTCCTAGAGATCCAGTTTACAGATTAGGGTGGCAGGAGTTCCCTTTTTTTGTGTGAACTGTGAGAACTGGTTATGGCCGGAAGAATAGCTGCTCTTACAGCACCATGTCACTGTGCTGTTTATAAACATGACAAGACAGGTCGTCATGGAGAATTAACTTGCTCCCTAAACAATAAGTCATTCATAAAATCTGTTATCATATACAGGAACTTAATTTTATGAATAATTAAATGTACATTGTACAATATAAAAAATCTATATGCAATAAGCTTATCCTTTAAATTTGAACATGAACAGTGTAACAGTTGTATAATAATATTTCTGTGCATCGTAAACCACTACAATAGTACCGTACTCAATTACTCAACAAATAATAACTAATTTGTGCTGTCAACTAACAATACCAATAAACAACTTACTGAGAAAGAGTCAGTGATGAATGCTAAAGTTGGAACAAGATAAATAGTTAAATAGTTAATAGCAATTCTCATAGTAGGTGGGGAGTTACAGATAGGTGGCAGAGTTAACAAATTACAGTATGTTAAACAGTACAGTACAGTATCAGGTGTAATATGAAATTAGTTAGGAGTTACCCCATACTTACTACAATACCTAAGTAACTACAGTATACATTAGTATGAGAAGAAAATGCTTTTTGGTAATGATCACAGTAAACAGAGCCAACATTACCATGAACCTGTGTATGGTATGGCTCTATCAACCTCAAGGCCTCGTATGGGTTTAGTGGAAATATAAACACCTTTGGAAATGGTCTTCTTGCAGGTAAAAATTTCGCTCTAAAAGTGATGTAATATTAAGTACAAAGATTTAAAAAGAAAATTATGTGTACAGATAATTTTATAATACATAACTATACAATATTATTACATCTTTGTTAATAAGACTAGAACAATCGACTCTTGTGCACTCAGATGCATTTCATGTTTTGTTAGCTTAAAAAAAAATAATAACAATATACTCATACTGTACAGAGAACAGTTCATCATGCATACAATAGTTTCTAAAGTGTACGCCACATACTCATGAAACAATCCCGGCATGGTGTAAGTTGAAGGAAAAAAGAGTAGGGGAGATAAAATATTAAGTACTACATCAAAAACAATGACACACTTACTAAGCATCTAGTAACTGGAACACAGACGACACACCAAATAACAACAAAAAATTCTTGATGCCACTACCACTACTTAGGCTGTTAGAACCCACTACCATCTTATATTATACTACTAAGCAACTTCTACATAGGGTTATAAGAGGTACTGTATTGTGATATTAAAAAATGCAAGTGGCGCTGACGAGAGCATAAATATATAAGTCCACTATTTAGATGTTTCCCTTATTGTATAACATTTCTAAAAACAACAACAATATAATCTACAATGAAGACTTAAGTAGGATATAAGAGGGTATGTATCACTACCTGTATCACTTCTACAGGACACACGGCCATCACTGAGTAAGGTGCTGCTTCACTCTAATGCTCCACACCACGAGACATACAGAGGCATCTAACATATCATTCTGACCCTCAATCTTAGCTCAAAAGTATGAAGGTTATCCCACACTCATCACTCAACTCTTTATCTTGCCTTTTCACCTCATTATACTCTATACAAAGGCACTCTTATCTTCTCAGACCACTACAAAAATACAGTAAGTATACAGTATAGTAGTTTGTGAATTTTTTGGGTGTAAATTACAGGAATATTTTACGTACGGTATATGCTTTCATTAAATCATTGATATCGCTTGAACTCCTCACGTACCCCATTCTTAACACACAACACCTCTCTCCCAAGTTGTGTACTGATCTGCTTTTAACATTGCGACTGATTTTGTGCTCTAATAATTAAATATTTGTGTTACAGCCATAAAAAAAAGTAATAAATATATGTCTAATTTGTGTTACAGCCATAAAAAAAGTCATAAATATATGTCTATCTGCCGTGAATAATGCAGTATTACTTTGTTTTTTCAATCTACTTCTATGATGTGGGAAGGAGGCTAGTGGCTTCTTTAACCCCCCAATGTGCCTGATGTTACCCTCATGAGTCCAGTGTTAAGTGCAGGAGAAAACCAGAGTTCATGGAGATAACCCGCACTATTTGGTAGGGTCACACTGGATAACAACCTTCTCACACTCAAACAAGGGACCACACCCAAAATTGCAGTGGTGAGACACAAATGCACTATGGCAATACCTCCTATTAAAAAGAAACTAGAGCTTATTAAATACATCAGGGACATATAGCTGTCATCACTTCCACATTTTCAAGTGTAGGGGATCTAAAGGAAAGCTGATTTAACCCTACCATTAATTAGGTAATGATGGTGTTACTGTAAACTAATGTAGTCACCGCTGAATTTTGTATCATGTCATCACTTTCTTTAACCACTAGACAAATCTTATGTTGTTATTGCATCCACAATTACAACAGCAACACTTGATCAATTTTGGCACAATTAGCAATGAAAGTTTAGCCATGTGGATCCTGTGACGTGTCAAACAAACCGACTAAAGAATTTCGAGGACACACCTACACACAGACAAGCAGGACTAAAAACAATAACCCACCCCACAGTTACAAGCAGGGGCATATACTGTGTGTAAAGTGATGGGGAGTTCACTAAATAAATATGAAATACATTTCATCAAAAGATACGAAGTGTACAATATGTCATTACAAGAATGAAGCAAAATTAGACAGAGGAAAGCAATAAATTATTGAGGAATGCGTGTCAGAGTGCTAGGCCAGCAATAAGAATATTACCGCAGAAGAGGAATAAACCAGATAGACACACTCCAAATATATGAGATAATGTCCATTTTAGACATACCTGTATCACACTATGGAGCCATTCATCAGTTTTGCTGAGTAAAGATCTGGATTTGTTCAAAATGGACTCGCATACTGTATTCTTACACATATATTTTTAAAGATAAAAATTATTTATATACTTTCTATATGTATATATGACTTCAAAGTACACTGAAAGCAAACAGTATTAAGAAAGTCCTTGAATATCTTGGCCAAAAAGCCATATTTGATAAAAGCTTTTGTGCCTCATTTTAACAATCAATGTTATTCTAAGTAGGTTTCCTTAAAGTGATGTTCAACACTTTATTAACAAACTATTATCATAATAAAATGCTCTGCTTCATATCAAACAAAACTTATTGAGAAAAATATATAAGCAACTGATAAATCTGTACATTAGAAAAGATATATAAATTATTGCCCTTTATAGATAAACATTTACTAATTGTACGGGTAATATTATTTATCGTCTTTTACACAAAGCAAAAATTTTTTCAATATCTACAGTAAACTCATAATAAGAAAGGCTTTTTGTGAAACACAATTCTCTTAAGACACGGTTCAGTATATAAAGGTCCACTAAAAGCTACAACAACACAAAGTCCTCACTCACTTAGGAGTGATTTATGGGGAAGATTTAGTCACATTAGGAGTCAACAGCCAAATGAAAGTTCAGGCTCAGTGAATCACTTACATGAATCACTAGAATACACTTTGTTTGTAACAACACACACCCATGCTCACGTTATTTCTGATAAGGGAAGGATAAAATTTTGACAAAAATGCTTGCTACAAGAAGTTGAGAGGTCCTCAGTATTTGTGACTCCAGCAGTGAATTTCACGTTATCAGTACAGTACAGTACATTAGTTTGTCTTGTAATTTACTTGCTTTTTTTATTATTCACAGGATACTATAGATTATGAAGAATTTCAAACTCTCATCTTAATTCAATTACAGTATCTGTCCTAGGAAGAGTTTCTGGTAGTCTGAGTCTCACATTCACAAAGATTTGATTAGATTTACTTTACCCCCAACTTGAGTACAGAAAATATTCCTCATTGTGATTCAAAGGTTATTTTAGATGATGTGTTTGCATTTTATCCCTAGTCAACCAATTAGATGTGTTCTCACATCTCAAGTTATGAGAACCTAACCCCAGGACCATAACCTTATTTATACTACAGTATTTGTTCATCAATTCAACAGTACCGTACACAGTTTAACTAGGTCATAGCGTTTAGTTTAACATAACAGTGTGTCTTATCAAGGGGTTACTGTATAAGATGAGCATAAACTGTTAACAACATGGTGCATATGGAAAACACCTGTAAAGAATTTACCATGAACACTATCAAGGAGGTATAATGTACACATGTATTAGTACCTCCATGGTTGGCACTCTTGACTACAATATACAGTCAGTCCCCGAGTTACGAACGGACTACATTTCTGGACTATTGTACGTCAATCTGTTTGTAAGTCATAACAGTGTTCATATGTGAGGTTAAAACACAACCGTGCCCATACAAACAGCAAGAATATCCCATACATGATAAATACGGTAACTACTGTAAATAAAGTGATGTTAAAAAATACAGTATTCCAGGATTCCATTCGTAGGTGTGGGTGTTTGTAAGTCGGGGACTGTCTGTACTGTATATGGAGACTTCATACACAAGTTATTATTTTTCTAATTAGAAGCCGGAAATATTCTGTTATGATTTTTTCTCTAACTGAATAGCATCAATAAGTTTCCCTCAATCAATTTTTTTCATTTATAACAAATTTCATTCTGAAAATACAGTTTTATTCATGTGATAAGTCTGGTATGAAACTATACAATGATCATCTGAGAAAATATCACTTGAAGTCTTATATGAATCTATTTGATGATTATCTGAGAAAATATTAGAAATTTAATACATTTAATAAATAAACAAAAGGGCCATCGAGCACTAATAATAACAAGAACTATAGCAAAGTGAACACAACAAGACATATAAAGATTATTGCTTTAAACTACTTTACTTCTATAAAGTACAAGTCTCACTGTTTGCTGGGAACTTACTTAGGCACCTACCTGTGGCCTAAATGCCTGTACAGCAAAAGACCTGCACACAACTGAAGAGGTTACAGTGTATCGTGTTTGTTTCAGGATAACAAGTTATTTGTGTAATAAAGTAACGACATGCATTGATATTACTTACAATGTAAACCAGGAATATTCTATGAATACATTAGTTTATTAATCTAATTGTATTTTAAAGCCTCCCTGCACCCTGTTTTCATTACCAGTTTCAGGTTTAGAAACTTTGCCTTTTGTAAATCACATGTCGCACTAATATTAAAATTGTGTATATATAAATAAATACACACACACACACACACACATACATTCATTCATATGAACACATTCATAAAATAGCTTCACTCATGAAATTATTTTCAACTCTTAAAAAACTAAATTTTATTAAATGAAACACAGATTACAATAACTACAAGAATGATAAAACTTGCAAGCTTTTCCATACTACTGTACAAGGCAGAGTGAGATGAATCACAAGATAATATTGACATTCTTTATTTGCTGTCACTTATTCTTCTTCCACACTATGGCCCCAAATATCTACCTAGTTTACACCTGTTGCTTCACACAACCCAGCATAAGCCATTAGCAGCACATCAATCTCCCAACATCCACCTGATCCATGTTGCTGCTTCCTGAATGTTTATCCCTCTCACCTCTAGTGTGTCTATCATACTAGTTTACAGGTATAACTTACCTAAATATACGTGGTACTCTCACAAATGCATTAGAGGATTAATGATAAAAATGATATCAAATGGTCAAAATGTTCATACTGTACACTGATATCTTGCCTAGATAGACCTACATACTCATGAAATGTAAAGTACAGTACATGTACAGCCAACTCCTGTTGAACACAAACAAGTGCATTGCAGTTTTCCTTATATATTACAAATGAAAAAAAAAAAATGCAACTGTTTTTTCCCAAAGTGCAGCTGAGGCAAGTGCTGTGTATTTTGTTCCTCATTAAGTGCCCAAGTCTGGCAAGCATACACACAAAAATATACCCCAATAATTGTTAGTCTACCCTGTGTAGTAGGCTAATGTTCAGATGCAGCTTGGCTACTTTACCATTAATCCTATTTATTACCCAACTAATTACAGTGAAGAAAAGGTATAAGGCAATGATTGTACAGTAGTGCTAAAAGTGAAGTTGTTAGAAAAATTAGTGACGTAAGTGCTGTGCCACTTGGGCAGGAAACTGGTTTGGAAGAATCCACAATATAGTTCACTACATACTATTCTTATTTCTGACAAAATAACCTGTGCCAATGTGAAATCGTCTGTACCTATACTGTATGTGCTAAAGTATCTCTTAGAATCATTGCTGATCCCCCACTTACAAGATCGAAGGGCTGTTCAGTACCCAGGTGGGCAGCCCAAATTCCAGCTTTCAGTGCAACAATTGGATGTCCAGAATGACAAGCGTGATAGAGATGGAGCACTATGGGGATGAGCAGCCACAAAGTGCCAGCAATACAGACAATGAAATAAAAAAGCAGAAAGAGGACAGAACAAAAGCCTTTAACCAATCAGAGAATAAATTGCCCTCTCCATAATGATAGCCTCAAGCTTATTAAATAACAATGCAGTTCTCCTATAATCAACCTCATGGTTAGACACCAAGAGAGGCAAGATAGTTTGATTCTTGATGGATAGTAGTTCACCTCCTATGTGGGAGGTGATCTCAAAAGGTTTTGTCAACCTTCCAAAAAGGTCATTTTAAACAATATTTTTGTGGGGGTTTGCTTATACAGTAAACCATACACAAACAATATTTATATATGAATGCTTTGTATTAACTGCAATAAATCAAACAATTCTAATTTTTTAAGATGCTAAGGCTGAGGTTCCTCCTTTGTCTCTCCATACATGAGGTTGCCAAACCAACATCTTTATGATTCTGGTCAAAATGAGAGAACATCTTGAAAGACAAGGTAGAGATTTCATTATAAATGGAGGAAGCTGGGTACTCCTCATCACTACACATGCTAAGTAGCTTCTTACAATAAAAAAGAATGGTTGCTAGAGTGCATATGACTGTAACACATTCCACCATCTTGGGTAAGAGCTGAAAGCACTCACTGGTTGAGTTTCCTACTACATGCCCCTGATTAGGCTCACAAATTTATGGGGCCAGTGGCTGGAAATAGAGTAGGATCAAATTTATGATGTCAAAGACTCTCAACTAATGCAACAGGATGGTTCTAACCACTTGGTGAACACTGTACAATATATGACTATATTTTCACATCTTTAATCAGCGAGGGTTCCATTGATAGAAGGAGAGGGGGTTGTGCCTCTCTCCTGGGCCTGCTCATGACCTCTGGGTTCAAGGCATAAACAGATATAACTGTGTCAACATGCAGGCACACCTTCCTGGTATGTGTTTATGCACAAAGATTGTCAGTCACATTTAACAAACATACTGTACTATAGTATTATAAAAGAGCAGTCAAAGATAGTTTTATCCTAAGCATTTACAGTATAAAAGGAAGTTGTTCATAGAACTGTCTTTCATTCAGTGAGCCAACTGGCAGACCACACAGGGGAGGACCATATCTTGATAACCTAATACTGTACGTACTAGTGTTTGTTCATAAGAATATAACTTCCCCACAAAATGTTTAGAGAATTCCAATTCTCCAATTCACATTTTGGAAAATAAATTCTTTATGCTTTTGTGGAACGTCAAAAAACACAAACCCGTTTTCTAAAATTTTAACTGGACCTTAAAAAATTACCTTTCCAAAAGTAAATCTTTTTATGTTAATTTTGAAAGAAGATTCATATTAAGTTCAACTAAATAGAGTTCATGTATTTAAAAATTAATGAATAAATAAATAAATAATTTTGAATAATTTCTATGCAACTTCACAATATTAAAAATATTGTCAAGTTTAAAGTTATTTCTTGCTGTCATATTCCATATCATTACTTTAAGTACCGGTAGTCGTTCAGTGTTACAATTTCAATCAACTACTTCTAACTTAAAAAATATTCAATGAACAAAATCAGGGCTAATCCTCAGCTTAGCATTTTACACAAATTTAATTATCAATTACTTTTGCAAAATTTAAAAAATTTAATTTACCTAAAATATCACATATCAGTATTCTTCACCTACACCACTTGCATATTGCTACTGCATATATAATATTACCTATATAAAACAAGATTAATTTAATTATTTTCTCCTCTATTATATATAATATTTTGTGTAAAAAATTTATGATCTAAAATGAGTTGTTTGTTAAAAACACACTGCAGTATATTTCATACAAGACCACATGACATTGTATAAAGGTTAACTGCCATAATATATATCTATTACATCATGTTAGTAACTCTATAAACAATTCATCTGAGAAATAATTAAATCTACTTTAAAGAAGGCACAAGTTACTTGGTGCAAGTTTTCTCTACAACAAGGTGTGTCTGTGAATCTTGAGATACTTACATTACAATTGTGTTAGGGAAAAATTTCTCGGTGACACACAATGAGCACTTCCACAACTCTAGGCTCTTGAGCTGTATTCGCCAAAGCAAGTAAATCTGCTGGTTGAATGTCATCACCCACATCAGTCTCAACAAGTGTGGGTGCAAAGACTGTACTCAGGCTGGTGGCAGACATCTTATTGACTGCACAGTGATCACAAACCCTTAAAAGGAAAAAGTCTGAATAAATCCTCCTTCCATATATTGAACAGTATTGCTACTTTACACAGCATCAAGATTCCAGAGAAGAGTAATTTAAGCATATAAATCTGTGTGGATGTACAGTCGCTCAGAAACTATCTTTACTGGGGGAAAGGGAGGTCAATGAATTTCAGAATGAACACTACAACTCCTGTTGTCTCAGTAAGGTTGACAAAATCCTTCATCTTTTGCTTCATATTGTCTAATGTAATTTTTGTAAAGATAGTTTTTTGAGTGACTGTACATATCATGCAAGGAGTATTGTAGTTCTAGACAGTTTTTGTTGTGAAAATTTAATATTAGGTTTCATAACATGTTCATTACAAATCTTTGCTTGAGGAAATTATATACATCATACAGAATCCTTCTTTGTTACCTTAGTTACAAGAAAAATATGATACCATTATAAAATCAAAGATGAACTGACCTGCTAAGATGATAGATAATAACTTCAAGTGTTGCATAGTGTGCATCAGGAAGGGACTTGAGCGCATCTTGAATACTTGACACACGGGCTTCACGATCACTTAATTCTGCAACAAAGTGATAGAACCATGTGAAGATCCACTCTATGTATGAAAATGTGCGAATTATTCCCAAGTGCACCTTCCATTATGTCCCTAGTAACATGAAATAAACCAAAATGTCCTACTTACTACAAGCTGCCTTAAGTTTGCTGAAGCAATTAGCGGTGATGAGTGGTAATGGCAATTGCCTCAGGTACAGTTTCAACACTCCAGCAACCACATTTATGTCCCCAACTGCTTTTTCATCCAGGTTCACTCGGTTGCCATCTGTAATGTACAAACGAAATATAACCATCATGTCTGCAAGCAATTGCATATGTTTCCCCTCTCTGTAAAACTCTTGCTGGTAAATCAATCCTGCAAGTTACAGCTCAATTGACCATTTTAGTGACTCATTTCTTTGATAAACTGAAAGAAGCTCATGGTGACTGGGGATGGCCTAGATAATTAATCAGCAATAAATTTCTAGTTGGCTGACCTATCCTGAAAGTTAAAATTTATGCATAGTAACTGTGTAACCCATTCCTAACACATGTAGGTCATAAAGCACCATTGTGTATTTTCATCCTTTGGCTGCTGTATTTTTAATAAACCAATAATTATTATTATCATTAATATTATAAAACAAACACACCACTTCCCCTCCATATACTCAATTTAAGGTTTAGTGAATTGTGACGAGCCATGTGAGTACTACTGTATAGAATAAAATAAAACCATTAGTAACCAATATCTTACCTCTTTCAAAAGCCAACTTCAGAGCTTCTATTTGGTCTTGTGAGCCAGGAACCCTGTATATCCCTTCAGCTGCGAGGCCACGAGCCTCTATCTCTGCTATGCACTCTTTTACTACTGCTGGAACCTGACTAGTAGTTCCTCCTGTCATCTCCAAACTTGTTGTGAGATCAGCACCAAATATACCTGATGAGAAATTTTTTAAATTATATAATTGTAAAAATTACCATTGATAGAAACTTATTACACGAGACATTTTCCATTTCACCTTCTTTACCAATACTCTGTACAGTATTTACTCAGGTTACCATATAAAAACACACAAAAATTAGAAAAGCAATTCCATTCTACAACCAAAGGAAAGAAACTATTGACCTGAGGCAACCACACCATTAAACAACCCCGGAGAGTCAGCTAAGAAAAGGTTGGAGAAGGTCATTGAAGGTCTACTGTATTCACCCCAATAGGAAGAATAACTTTTATGACAGAAGAAATGGCTCATCTCATTTACTAAAGCCTCAGTCTAATTTATCAATAAGAGATTATGAGAGAAAGACTTGCATTAATGAAATCCAGATTGGGTCTTCAGACAACTATGTAATAGCTCCACAAATATAACACACCTATAATATTGAGAGAACCATAATAACCAAGGTTCACTTACTTTGCACATCTTTCAGGTCAGGGTTGCAATCATTGGGAACTTTACAACTGCACTGCTTATGGGCCTTGAAACTACAGTCTCGACATCTGACGCCCTGAGACACAAAACCCCACAGGAAGTGACCACAGAATCCACACCTGTATTACACACTTTGATGAGAAAGACATAAAAGAAAAACAAATCAAATTACACTACTAAGAGGATTAGATTACATTATATACAACCGTCCTGAAACAAAACCAAGTTCATCTCTTGTGTAAGAGGTCGCCTCTGAGCTAAATAAAATCGTCTGGCATTAGACAAATAAAATATTAAAAGTGGCGTCCCTGAAGTGAAGAAGTTAAATATGCTAATGGAAACAAAAATGATTTGTTAAATGCACAACCAAAGAATCAGCAGTTCTAGTTTGAAATAAAAGCTGTGTTTATGCTAATACTGTAAGATTGTAAATCTGGTAAATAGCAGGTACTGTAATGTACCTGTACAGTGTTCCACAATTAATAATAGAGGCTTGAAACTGAAATATTTTTTTCTGGTACAGTAATGACCATAGCCAAGTGAATCTACTTAATAAAGTCTTTACTGTTCATACTAATTTAAGGTACGAGTATACAGTATTACAATGCAGTACAGTATAAGACTTATACTGCAGAAGACTTAGTCTTCTGCAGTCTATCTAAAGAATAATTTAGTATTTGACTGAGTGCCATAAACTCTGAGCCTAAAATTTTTTTTACTGCCCCAGCCACAAATATTTCTAGATATTAAAGTACAGCATGACCTGACAATTCACAGACCTCGATTATTCACAGATGATACCAAAGCTGTACCCAAGAATGTCTAAGAGTACGTAGTTTTAAAGTTGCTGGCATTTTTGTGGCCGGGACAGGGAGCCACTCATTCTAGAGACAGTAATTTCTTTTACCTGTATTGCATATGTGTGTGTGTGTGTGTATACACACACACACACACACATATATACAATACAGGTAAAAGAAATAATTGTCCTAAGGGCAAAAACACAAAGGGAATATACATTTCTTTGCACACGAGTAAACAGCAGTGGCATTCCAATCCAATTTTTTATGTATATTACCAATGGAGTCCAGTGAATGTACTGGTTTGGAATCGATGTGGACGCTGTGTAGTGGCATCTGGCGAGTCAGCAGTTTCCACAGGTACTACATCCACAGGAATTGACACATAAAATTTTGAAGCATCCGTTTCGTTAGTTGGTTCATTATTCTGTAAAAAAAATAAATAAATAAATAAATAAAAATACATGCAATACTTATCATATCCGCTCCCACAACAGTACAGTATGTATATGCATTTTTTTTACACACACAAAATTTATAAATTAGCAAAGACTTTTCACCATTATCTACATACAACAGTATTTTCAATGACATGCATTTTGTCCTGTTGTGCAAATATCAAAAATCATTCCCAAGCTACAGTACTGTACTTTAGACAGCACTGTTCTACTACAACTTGTGCCACTCCACTGTTTGAGATTCACTACCCAGGTACAGTACTATTGTTTTGCCAACTCAGGGCTGCAGGTTAGAGATCTGTACAATACTGATCCCTGCATATTTATCCTCATCTCTTGTATTTAAATTCTTCACCCTCATTACTAAGTCCATTTTTCACACTACATCTTTCAATATACTGTAGTTATTCTGGGGTCACTAAAAACTCCTCACTACTCCCATTCTCAAGAGCAAGAATATTCATTACATCCCACCTTTCTCCCTCTTTATTTGATCATGAAACTAACCCTCCTATATTCTACCCTATAATCCAACATTTCATCATTCAACAACACTATATACCTTCTATCTCTCTTACTCTCTTAGACACTTGTTATTTTATTTTCTTTACATCCCTTTCGATTCAAATATGTCATCACTGTTTTTTGTTTATGTTACCTTTTACTGACAAGATTTAAGGAGGTGAAGCTACTGGTTCCTATCCCAGATGAAGAGAGAGAAAGCATCAAACACTGAACAGACAAATCCATAAAGCAACCCTCTGATATAATGTAATGTCAGAAAGAAATATCTAAGTAAATACTATAAAAAATAACAAACACTCATACCTCTTTGTTTCCTGTGAGTTTGTTGATCTGCATGTGTTTCCGGATGGACCTCGTCAGGGTGTAATACGGAGAGTTGACGTAAGAACCGGATGAAATGTCTTTGAGGTGTTCTCCAGCGTTCAGCTCTATATAGAATGTAACGAGTCCATCAGCTACTAGATCATGTAGGGTGTCAAATCGTTTCTCGCCAACATAATGTTTTTTGCCGTCGAAGTATAATCGAAAGTGTTTAATTTGACCGTTAAACCTGAAAGAAAAGAAAAAGCAAATGATTTATTAACAATTCATTTTCAATTTAAAATTTTATTTATAAAAACTTCTCTTTAATCTTGGAAACACCAAAATACAGTACATTAGTGACAAATATAAAATGTGAATACGTACCTGTACCTATAATGTACAGTATATATATAGGTACAGTACAATACATAATTATAGAGATACTGTACTGTAGTATGTATATAAACTTATTTACCCAGATATCACATCCTTACCGCATACTCAGTGTGTAAAATCCTTCTGTATTCTCACTGTGCCGTACAAGGTACGACCCTTCAAGCGTGAGCAGGTCTGGACACTGGTGCCGTCTGATGCTGCCATGATACTCCAGGCCATAGAAACTGGGACTGTCAGGTGGTCGGTCAGTGCATAAGACCGCAGCTGGCTTTGGAGCATCCTGTTGCAGCTGGTACACTAACAAAAACATTTAAAGCAATTTCAGGTCATTACTTCATAGAAAAAATGCATCATATACTTAACTCATCACAATACAAAAAACAAAAACATTCTTAAAAAAATTTCATAAAATAAATATCAATGACTTAAATAGCTTGGGACACAACAATCAAGATCAGTTCCCATGTGTCTACTGTATGAGACAAATCATACACCGAGCTTGGGGTTGAGAACATATGTTTATAAAACACTTTTAACATTCTAAGGAAGTCAAGTACTGTACAGTATATGGAATTCAATAGGAGACGTTCCCAGCCAGTCTGACACCCACATGTATCATCGAAAAATAAATTCCTACACTAATACTATACCACAACACAATTAAACAACACTCGCCACATCATTAAGAGCAACCTGGTCATCATTACACTTCCCCTTCGAGTCTAAAGGGACTCTTGAAGGTGGACTGGAGACGTCACTCTGACTCCCACACAGCCTCTGGGGAGTCTCATGCTGCTTCATAATACTATAAAGCTTCACCTCCAGAGAGACGGTTTTCCTGGGTGTCTTGGCCTTCCCAGACATTTTCAAAGTTACATTGCTCATTTCAGTCACAAAAACTGAACGAATAATGATAATGTAAAAACAATGAAAGCTGCCAACACTGCTCACATCATGTTCACAACAACAAAAGCAAAGCACTTTACATCCCCCCCCCCTCCCCCCCCAAAAGCAAAAAATCACTTTAGTCACCAAAACATAGTACTACAGTATAATGTTGACATTAGTGATGTCCTCTCAGTGTAAGGTAAAAACGATGTTACATAACAACACCGTTACTGACTGATAATTATCGTTAAGCTACATGATCACAGCCATGTGTGATCACCATGGACCAAAGTTTGGTACTGTGGTGCACTCAGTGGCCGCGTGACAGTGCACAGGTAGACTGCAGCTGACAAGTGCACCAAGAGATGCATTCCAAATTGTTTACATTGTAAATAGGAGGAGACCTTATTACATAAACATCATTAAAGCAGAATGGCAAATATTGGGGCAATTTTACCCACAAGATTTAATGTAAATAGGGGGGATGTGTTCCCAGCCAGCCACTTTCACCACATTTTTTTTTTATATAGGTACAGTAGCTAAAACAACCATCTGTGCATACTTTGTGGGAAGCAATATGAGACCATGGACGATAAATTTTGGTATATGAGGGCTGTCACTAGTCTCACGTAAAATTTTGTAGCATATCGACCCCCCACCTGCACAGATAGTTGTTTTAGCTACTGTACATTCAGGCAAGGCAGACACAGTCACCTCCTTAATTTTTGCACCACTTTTCTCAATGGAGTACACGGTCAAAGGGGCTAAGCCATGCACATGATCCAATTTGACTCATGCCCTCACCTTTCTCATGCAGCTTTACAATATCCAATTTACTGTCCAAGGTCACAGACACATGAGGCCTCTTTGCAGATGAGGCAGCAGAGGCAGAAGAAGGGCGCTTGGGAGGCACGACGAATATTTCTTGGGATACAGTACGCTACCAGACAACGCAAAAGATAAAAGCAGACGCTCATGTGGGCCAGCGAATGAGTACATAAAAAAAAATGTCACTATGCAATGTGCTCACGCAGCTTAAGTCACCACGAATAACTTCTGACAGCTGAATATAAGATCAGCAGCAGGGTATGCTTTGTGAACATCGAATAAGGATGTTAAATATTAATTGCAAATAAACAGGGTTGTAAATAGCAATGTATTTCTGTACTGTACAGTATCTAGCTATGTACTGTAATTAATAATTCAAACCCATGCATTTCAGTGGTAAGTGGTAAATATTTATGCAACAGACCTAAAATTTTTCCCCCTATTAAAATTGATTATATATACTGTATGATACGTGAACACTTAAATCACTGAATCACCACTGACAAATCCATTACTGTACTGTACTTTAAATGAATTACAAGTCCTTTAGCTCTACTTCTCAATATGAGCACAGCTTACCTGTATCAAAATACCACACCGCCATAACTATCCACTCCAGAGCTCTTACAGACACTGAGACACAATGCCCTTTACACAGTACCTTGCCAAATGTTCCCACTATACTTATCTTTTTCTTAAATATTACATACACACGACTATGCCATTCAAAATACTTACAGTATAATCACAGTTCACATTAATATATTCATATTGATATAGTATATAGATCATTTAAATGTACTATTTGGATGAAAAAAAAGCTACTTATCTACTACAGGGTGTAAAAAATATGCCATACTTTAATGAGATTTAAAGTTAAACCAGCAGGAAATTGTCAAAGATAAAACACGTCACATCCCTTACAACTTCACTACTGTGATGCCGCATATCAAATGTCATGTACACTCGCCCCCAGAAGGTACAGTACAGTATCTTCAAGGTGGGGGTACGATGAATTTAATATTGAACACCACAAATCCTGTTGTTTTGGTAGGGTTGTCAAAATTCTTCATCCGTTGTGTCATATTGTCTCACACATAATCGTTTTAGGTACTTTATGGAGGCAGTGAACCAGAAACAAAACTATATTACATGCATTCTAGTGAGATAGATTCTGTACGATCAGAGAGTAGATTAATTAAAAGAAGAACCAAATAAAATCTATATATACTACAGAGGCACTTATTTTTGTGTCCTAAATGGAGATCCTGATAGCAAAGAGCCACCACCGTAGCATAAAATCTAGACTAAGATTTGAAGTGTTTGTTGGAAGGTAACTCCATCGTGGCTGAGCAAGGTGAAGATCAAATTACTTGTCTGCTAACACTGGTAAACTATTGCTTCTAGAGATCTCCTTTGGGAATTATTTGTGACAGAGAAGTACTGTACAGGTATAACTAGTTCGTGAATTAGTCCCAGTATGTGTTAAAAGGTTACACCATTAAAATAGCAGAATTGTAGAATAACAAAACAGAAAATTCTTGCACTCTCCCCAAAATGCATCATACTTACAGAAAGATTTCCACATTGATGACGCTCGCCGGTGCTGCTGCTGTTCCATGTTTCTCCCATCTGCAAAGGTGCGGCATACTGCTGTAGTTATGTGTGCTCCAGTAATCATCTCCACATATCAAAATACTGTACAATAATTCAAAGAAATGCAAAAATATGAGGAAATAAAAATAAAACATACATTAACAATGAAAATTATGACAAAGAACAAATTACTGAACTAAAAACTATACTGTACTGTATAAGCCCACAGACAGTCCCCTCAACGTATTGTGAAACCATTATTTTCCTGAGTAATGTTATCAAAATTTTCTAAAAGCAAAAAAGTTTACACTAAGCACGTAATCTCATCGAATTATATAAGCACACAAAGTTTGATGTTTCAATGGAGTGGAGGGATTTTTTCACCATATTTTAGCTGACCTATGGCTCACATATTTCCATGGTCAGCAACATTCAGGTCCCAAGGCTACCAAATTAAGAGGGGTTCATCCTGTATTGGGTACCCTATACTGTACTAGTTTTCACATTAACATTAATGGTTAAAATTAAGATAAACTAAAAAAAAAATTATTTGTGTGAGATTTACTGAGCATAGAGTATGATACAAAACATGAATATAATGCTTTTGCTAGCCTGTACACTCCATAATAAGGCAAAACACCATCACTTACTGGTAGTTCCTATTACACCCAGTGTTCACAGATACAGGGTACTATACATACCGGTAGTTAAAGGTACTGTACCAATATTGCATATTTAAATACACACATAAATATAAATACGGGAACCAGAAAATAAAGAAAGAGACACTGATGAAAGTATTCTCCCAATTAGAGCTGAAACGCAACATAACAAACACTCGTCTGAATCCTCCATCGACACGAAAAACTCTAAAACACTGGGCATATTTTTATGCCCCATGCTTTGTAAGTGCAAGTGTTCAGTCAACATCATGGTTTTTTGTTGCCTACAGCTGTGTAATAGGTTCCACTGAACTCCATTGATTTCTAAGTCATACAGCACAAAAACACGCTCATGTGAAAGAGGTCTTAAAGTTGTTTTTCAATAGGTAAACTACTGTATAAACAAGCAAGAGGATGCAAAGTTTCAGAAGATAATTCCTGTCAATAGAGTTTTCCTACAATTGCTTCCTCTCTCTAAAATCAAATATGTTACTAAAATTTTCATAAAAAAATTGAGTAACAAAGTGATGCTTTGGTCCGGGTGACACTATTTCCACTGTTTACATGATGAGTGTTCCATACCCAGGAACACTTCCCAGCAACCATTCCATAAATAACCAACAACATGAGAACGTTTTATGCTAAAATTATCGTTTCAGTCTTACACCTATTTGGAAGTAGGGCAGAATCATTCAAAATATCAAAAACCATCGGAAAAATATAATTTCAACCTAACCTAACCCAACCTAAAATTAAACTCCCAAAAGTCGCTGCATGACCAAAATGATAATAATAACTCATTTTTCTATAGATGATAATTTCTTAATTTCAAAAAGATCCCAAAAAATTACAAGGATTTCTAATTTTCGTAATGCTGTATTATATTGACAATTTTGTCCCAAATAGCATTTCAAGCACACAAACAACTTTATCAGAGAATAGGTGCACTAACCTAACATAACTATCCTAAGTTAGGTTAGAATCGCCGACTTAATTAATTCATCTTATCTCCAATAAATCATATAATGTAACAACAGCTGGGTAACGTGTTCATGTGTAAGGAACTGATGTAAAAAGGCGCCAAAATAATATTAAAACTGCAAATCCTATATGGTGGATTTTCTTGAGGTAAAAAGGAATTTGTCTTCTATGTATAAATCATCTCAAGTTCCTGATTAACCTGTGGCACTGTTTCAAAGTATTACCCCTGGAGGCACACCCCCCCCCCTTCTCTACACCTTTACTGTACTTCTTAGGAAACTTGTATTTTTTTCCTGAATCTCCTGCTAGATGTACATTTTATACATCAAAAGCTAATCTTTTAGTGAAAATTGCAAAAATAAATCATAAAGAAACTTGCAGGTCTGCAGGGTATCATTGCCTATTAGTTAGGTTAGATAGTTTCAATTCAGGCTATCTTTCGTGAATTAATTTATCTCATAGTTAAAACATCTTGGAAGCTGCTGTGTGTCTCCATATTCAACATAATATTAATTAAATTTATATAATACCCGGTAGTTGATTTTTAATTCCATTCCCTGAAATCCACTCATTTGAATACCTTGTTTATCTAATACATTATAATGAAAAATCTCTAATTCATGCCATTACTGAGCTTATTACAATTAACTCATCAAATAAAACACTTATGATATATCAAAGTTCTTCCCGACAACTTCTTCCTTGACATTAAGTAAACAGATAAACCACTTCCTCTACCCACTACTAAACACCTTAACTTCGCTGAATAAATACTCAATAAACTATTCTTAACTTACCATTAGCTGCTGACATCGCCACTCATCCAGCCAACACTATCATTCCATATATACTAGTGATTTCTACAGGTAAATAAGTGACAGCAGTGCTCAGCTGTCATCCTTGGCCGACGACTTCATTACTCACACCGACCAGGGACCAGACTGTGACGTCACACAAGTGGACGCCCACCTCCTCTTTCTCTAGTTCTCTCTTTTTAGCTTTCTAGTCAAGATATAGCTTTATTACCATGGTTCTAACCATATCATTACGCTTTAGTAACTAGGGTCTTTATGGTTAGTAACTACACTAGTCTATCAACGGTTTAAGATTATAAGAAATAGAACTCTTTCTCGTTCTGTCTTCCATTAGTTATTAAAGAAGTGTTTCTAGGTAGTATTAAACATGTACTGAAGGGTCATAACAGTACAAATTTTAAAGGTACTCCAGATGTATATTTTGGTAAACATTCAAGAATACAGAAGTGACAATTAGTCTCCGTGAAAAACCCATCGAGACCATGCAAAGTACTAATGGGGAAAATCTCCTTCGTATTTTCTATGCATTTGTGTCTGTCCAAAATATCTATCTAAGCGCCATGGATCCCACAGAAACTTCAAAGTTCATACTTACTGTATATGTGTTGTTCAGCGCAAACACACAGATACGCACTTATACACACACGCAGAAAAAACGCACATATTGATAAACATATATAAGTATACCTGCATATTCACAAGTTTTATGCAGTTTAAATATTTATGATTTATGCCAGGAGTAAGAGAAAGATTGGACGATGAGTGGAAGTCACCTCGCCTAGAATTCTCTCGGTCAGGTGTTGTCTATAGAGTCTGTAGACCACACCTGACCGAGTCTCAGTCAATTTTAAGCAGAGCACTATCTCACAAGGAAAGGATGGAAATGTTCTCATATAAGACAGCTTTTCTCATTGCTCAGTAGTGAAATGATTTGGGGTCGCACTGGATAGTTGACAACACTGGATGGGGTCGTGCTAGAACAAGCTTGGGAACCCCTGCTATAGACAGTCTGTACCTTTGTGGCCCTGAAACTGGAGTCGGTACAGAAGGAATATAGACAACGATCTTACAATTCACAATACTGTCCTCAGACCTAATATACAGTACGTACACGCACACATGAACACATGCAATTTTTTATTCATTGGTTTCGGTGCGTGTTCGGCGTTTGAATTTGTTTGATCATAGAATGCATTTGATATTTTGCGTGTGTCTATATACAACTTATGTGTATATTCCGAGGGTATTTATGTGAAACATTAATATTTCTTATAATACTTACTATATATACAGTACCTGCTTTTATTGCACCATCAAAACCGTTTTATCGAAAATTATCATGTAAATAGATAAGAAATTACAATTGCAATAAATATATTTGCCAACTGGACATAATCTTTACAGCTCTGTCCTCTTGTTCAACCTTAATACTGCACAACCCATGTTGTACTGCTCCCCCATTATACTTATGTTTTTCAATTCCACTGTAATTTATGTATATACTTATAATAAAAAAATAAAAAAAATAATAAATAAATATTGAAGTGACAACCGTGGTAACATTATGAGATGTTCTTATTATCACCATGCTATTGTACTATTCCAGATGTTACTAAATGTTACATAATACTTCCTTGAGATAAATGTACAGTATATATCAGGTGCCTACAGGAGAGCTCAGGTTCTCAACTGGCTCAGCTATGTTAATATTGTTATTATTATCCACTCTGTATCTGTGTTTTTCTGGCTAAATAAACTGTTTCATTTCAATTCAATTCTTAAATGAAGGAATATTGTATTTTTTCCATATTTATTAGGACTCGGTGATATGCTTTACTGTGTCGATGTACAAAACAATAAACACAGGTAATATACACCTCCGTTGGACATAACTCTCGTGGTCAATGCAGTAACTATAGGATCTTCGTTTTTTCTCAGTGATTAAAAGCTCAATTTGCAACGGCTCACTTGACTTACCGATTGGTTCATGTCAATTTATATGACTACTCGTGATGAAGCAGATGAAACATGGAATTATGTCTATGGTCTGTTATTGGCCAGGAAATTTGATGACGTAAAACAAATGAACGTGATTGGTGGGGGGGTCTTGATGACGTTGACGTGACCAAGCAACGGGTGCCCGGTCATACTGTTGTTGACAACGGCACAAACCAGTCAGTCTGTTCACTTCTTTCTCGCGTTGTACAGGTGAGGTGAGAGCTGGAAGTATTTACATAGCTCAGGTGAGGTAACAGTAGTAGTGTTACTGTTACATACCCTCTGGTAAGGTGGCAGGAGTCTGGTGCAAATGATTGAATGCAAATGACAGACAGACAGACAGACAGGCATCTTTTGACGGGATAAAAATAAGACTGGCAATTATAATGTGACCATTTCCATCTCACACACACACAAAGTAATATACTGTAGTGGATAAGACATTAATCATGACATCTTCACTACAGTGTTAACATCTTATCTTCTGACCCCCTTCTATACACGTTATGCTTGATACCAGTGCATTGTTCCGCATCCTATTATCGTCCAGCCACCCTTCATATTACCTAACCTAACCTAACCTTCCCTCCCTCCCATCACTAACCATCTTTCCCATCACCCAATTTCCCCTCACCCCTTTCCTCCCACCACCCAGCCTCTCCTTCCATTATCGACCGCCACTTATTTACGATACAAGAATAGAACATGATTGACACATTATCTCCAGTTTATTGACTTTGGCGTTAACTCAAATGAGAGTTTACCGTAACGATTAAAGTGTGTGTGTGTGTGTGTGTGTGTGTGTGTGTGTGTGTGTGTGTGTGTGCGTGTGTGTGGTTACCGACAACAATACGAGTGCTAACATGTGGTGTAATAATTGGTAAACACAACAACACCATAATTATGTAATACGTTTAAACTAAATTATAACAAGTTACCATTTTTCCCATTACCAACACCTTCCCTTCCATCACCTAACCTACCCTCCCATCTACAGGCGTTTTAAACAAGTGTTATAAACCCGACTGAACTAAGATCATATCTGTACTAATATAAAACACATCAACTGGTTTCTCAGCTACAAGAAAAATATCACTTCAAAACAATAATATTTTAAACACTAGAGAATATATCCAGGAGTTTGATTCATTAAGATCTATTGGTTAAAAGTTTCCCCCGTAACTGGAGAAATGAGAATGTATATAATTTATTTCCAACGCAGAAATTATACCCAAATTACACTAGGATTTGACTTGTGTATATGTAGCAGAGTAAGTGAGTTTAGATAAATAGTATATTCTTAAGTATATATTCTCTATTTTATACATGTATACAGACACATATATACACAAACAGTTGCACTAAAGGACACACATGCATGCACATAAACAAACAAACATATAGTACATATACACGCACATAAACATACAAATATACACACACAAACATGGACACAAACATACATATAAACTCTTACAAAGAAACCCTAATCTAACCTTTCTCTGTCTCCCACCAGACTGAACACAGCGATCCTGTTTCAACACTCAGGTGCTCACCCGTCCCTAATGTAAGTACAGTACATCCACCTGTCACCCGTGTTTAACTTAGTGTCATGAACTTGCTAATATAAACTTACTGTGTCGAACTTGCGTCTTGAACTTGCTAATCTAAACTTACTGTGTCGAACTTGCGTCTTCAACTTGCTAATCTAAACTTACTGTGTCAAACTTGCGTCTTGAACTTGCTAGGTGTGCCATTTCAATAAGTGTCACTACAGTACTAGGAAGAGTTAACTAGGCACTTCTCAATGATGCATGACAGCACCACTTTCTAAACACTACCAGCTCTACTGCTCCTGTCAACACCACAAACGAAAAAAATATATATTGCAAAACTCTCTTATGCTTGAGCTGTATGTAAGTTACTAAAAAGATAGATTCATGTTTACAAATAAATACAAAGATGTAATAACGCAACTGAAATTATAGTAAATACAAATAATTTCATGTAATCAAACTGTATTAAGAGTATTGATGAATAATTGTAGTTTACTGTGAAGATAGACTTAAATTAACCCTTATAATATTTGTAATGGCTTGCGTATGTAAGTCTTTTTTTTTTACATATTGTTAATCGATGGCTCATAAACCAGTACTATTGACGGACCACGGACCAGCCAGCCTCTGGACCACAAACCAGCTAGCCTAGACTAGAGTGTAAAATGCAGGAACCTACCGAGTGTAAACCATCTACAGGCACCAGCTAGAATGTGTCAGATATTTTGTTCTAGATCTGCTAACGGGGAGAGAGAGAGAGAGAGAGAGAGAGAGAGAGAGAGAGAGAGAGAGAGAGAGTCATAAAAGCTAAACAATCAGTCATTATCATACCTCTCCCATGTATACGCGCGCACAGAGGCACAAATCGACCATACCATAGGGTAAAACATAAACATTTCCTGGATATGTATTAACAATATACATGTAACTTGGACACGCACCACACGCCCCTCTGCTCCCCCTCCCCCCCTCCTAGATTTTGGCGGTAAACTTCAGGAGGGAAGAGGCGTGTTTTCTAGTACTATCTATCTATCTATCTATCTATCTATCTATCTATCTATCTATCTATCTCTATCTTTCTTAATAATTTGTTTTGATATATTTTTTTTTTACTCGATTTAATAATATTATGTTTCACGAGACCACTACCATATAATACCTATTTTTCTTTACTTCATTTCTCCATTCCCTCACAAATACGTTCTTCCTTCCCCCACAAATACGTTCTTCCTTCCCCCAGCAACTTGAGAAGATTGATCGAATGTTTATTTTGGGCTTACTGTAAATAATTGCTAGGTGGGAGTTTTCTCTTGTACCCAACCGAATAATTATAACTAAATATAAATTACAATTATCTACACTTCGCAAAATCATTCTCTGTTCTCGAGTCATTGTATTTTCTTCTAAATCTGGGAAATACAGTAATCGTCAAGGTGAGAATTGTGGTCGGGTGGTGGTAGTAGTATCGTCAACCTCGGTGTTTATAGCAACGGTTCCTGGCGAGCAATCACGATTCTCAAAACATTCCATCATTGACCTCCCACTCTTCCCCCCTCCCCTCCACTGCTTTTATAATATTTACCAGTTATATTATTTTATTATATATCGATTCTTTGAAGATATTGCGGAGGATGTAAAGAATAATAACGTAAATATAAATCAAATCTTAAAATTGCATATTGTGGAAAAGATTGTAGTAACGTTTAAAAAGAATAATAATGATGATGACCTTCCAGAGACAAATGAACAAGAATTGGGGAAATTATTATATCACGTAGAATCACATATATCTTGCGTGTGTTACATAATCAAGTGAAAATCTGAACATACAGTACAAACGTCGAGTTATCGTCCAGAACCAACTTAAGTATGCCGCGTTTCGTCTCGCCTTTGTCAACATTACGCTTCTCATTAATAAAGTGTTCCTGTCATCACTTCTGTGCCTTTACTGACTCGCTTTCTTATTTTTTTTTTACTATTTTTTCATGTTTTTATTGTTTTACGCACTCTCCTATTTTATCTTTATCTCGTTTCTTCTTTTCTATTGCATACTCTGTCTGTCTAGGATAACAAAATGTCCACGTTTTAAAATAATATCCTCGTTACTTATGGCAATGTATTTGTCGTAAAAATGATGCATAAATCATTAGTGATAGTAAAGGCAACAATATTACGCTATCTATAGCCAGAATCTAACACGACTGACGTAAAGCGACCCTTACATGGTCAGTATTTATTGGCAATACTGCATCGTCAATATTTTAATTATTGACAACCGCCACCTCACAGCCTATGAAAAACTTTTAGACTCTTCCTTGTCGAGTATGGAAAAAATCAATATTCATATTCGACGAGCCATTGACCTTGATTGAACCAGTAATACCCACAACACGTGTCTTGGAATAACACGAGAGAATGTAATCAGGAAGTTGAAAGGTGACAAATTCAAGTCTCCCGAAGAACTGTCAACACTGTAAGCGATCTCGACCATAGGTACCTGAGGCAAAATGAAAAAAAAAAAAAAAATAGCCAAATATGGAAAAGTTAATTGAGTGACCTTAATAATGAGGTTTGACCAGACTGAGTTAAATAACTACAGGTATGCGGAACTTTTCGTTTTATCCTAATGCGCAAAGTTTAAGAGCTTTTGCTATTTCCGTCCCAGGCGATATCCACCACAAAAAGTACATAGCAACATTTCAACACACACACACACACCACGCAACACACTTTGATGTGATGTTGCAGATTTATATTGACAAAATACACAATGTTTTGAGTGGGGGAGGTGATCTGCATTTATTTTTTCACCTCCGTGCATGAGGATCGATTAACCCGAAACTGCTTCTCTACCACCATAATCTCCGTGTTAAACTGGAGCCAGTATTTCCAAGTTTAGTTTTTTGATGTTGGACTTTAAAGAGAATATTTCTCAATAAAAATGTGTTCAGTCAGTGTATTTCTATTTTGCTAATTGAGATGGGTCCGAGTTGCGTGTTACGTTGTTGATGGCGGTGAGGAAGGGAGGTGGGGGTGGCCTGCACAACACGCCACAACTCCACCTGCCTCTGTTTTACGCATTTATTCTTATTCTCTCCTTCATTAACTCCCAAAACATCATATATCAAACTGTATTACAACTAACTAAAACACCTAAAGCAGTGTAATATTTCCGTAGAGTTTTAATATGAGGTGTTGGCGGTGGCCTTTGTAAATTAACGCGATAAGAGCAGCTGCCTCGCTTATAACAGCACGCAATGCAAGACGCCCGCGAATGATGTCTGCCATCTTTAATTATAAAACCTATTACTAACAGATGTGTCAATACAAAGATACAGCTTTACTCCACAAACAGAATGCTATAATAATTTAGTGTATACATTACCCCGATAAAAGAAATACGAGTATGTTAAAAAAACGGGATAATTTTTAATGAGGAACTTGGCTGTCAGTCTCCATTGGGCGAAGAGGAACCAACTTGTAAACAGAGAACATCGCCAATAGTAAAACTGACCCAGAAGTTAGGTTAGATTAGTGTTCCAGTGAGTTTCCTGCCACACCGTTAAGTTCATCCACTTTAATATAACACAATACACTGCCATTATACCAGTTTTTAGTCCGATACACATTTCAATATAATTTTATAAATACAGAAAATACATTGTAAGTAAATATTTAGTTTAAAAAGCAAAGGTTAATTAATTTTGTGTTGATTTGTGAGTTAGGACGGAATTATTATTAAACAAAATAATTTATAGTTTTTGTGGAATTAAATTGGTTTAGGTGCGACCTTAATTTTCTCATGAAGTCAGGTCATCAAGTCCTAGGTGGAAATATATTGTTATTTCGCATGTACTGTATTTCTTGAGAAGTGTATTTCTCATGGACTGTATTTCTTATGGAGTGTACCTCTCATGGAGTGTATTTCTCATAGAGGTTGTCACAGTGATCATTATTTTGGCTGCTACACACTACACCATCACCACCACACACTTTCACCCTAATCACTGCACACTTTCACCCTCACCACCAACACAACACCTCCACCACCACCACACACCACCACACCACCCTCACCTTACACACCTCCACCCTCACCACACCTTCGTAATATTTACTTGCCTTCATATTATTTATCAGGTTTGTGAAGAAAGTACACGGCACGTCACAATCTGCCGGGGGTTTACCGCATGACACACACACACACACTCTCTCTCATACTTAAGGTTTTGCATCGTGACTTGCACTCTCCTTGATGTTCAACAACTGGATTTCAACATCCCAGGTCTTTCCGTGCGTGACCAAGTTAGTTATTACACTACAGTAGTCTATTAATAGTTAGAAATGATGGGATATAATTGTATACACACTCCCTTTCTGTGTGTGTGTGTGTGTGTGTGTGTGTGTGTGTGTGTGTTATCATAAAATACAGATAATTAGTTTCATATAAAATTTTACCTAACTTAATCTCCTTTGGGTATAATTTGCTATGATAGTAAACGCCGCCTTAAATAAAACAAAACAAACTTAACTATATGAATTATTTTTTACGACTTAATAGGCAATTATCCCTATTTAGTGTAACATAAATAGCGGCTAGTCAGTATTAATAGCCAGGACTCATTGATGTATAGAACCACAGCTCAAACAATAGGAATCCAGCCTAGTGACGCGAACCTGTTGTTGTGGTCATGAGGGAAGTGTCAAGGTAGAATTAGTCTGTTTATAACGTTCCTCCGTGCATGCTAGCGTGTGGGAACTGCCTGTCTGTAATGCACTTTTGACTTTTACTCGATAATAACAGAGTACAGCGAATGTCTGAACGAACGACAGACTTTAATTGTTTCAGGAGAGTCAAGTTATATACTCTAGTCCACAAAGCCAAGTTAGTATAATGCTTTAGGGAACCGCAAAGCTCACGGAAACGCAACTAGGCTAATATTATCCGCTTGAAATGCGCCAAAATACAATGCAAATCACGTCTCCTTCAGGGTTATGGCCTTGATACCTCACACGCCCTTCCTGTAGTAACCAAGGCAGCTCAAACCGGTTAATATTCTTGGTATCCTCTCCTACAGATACATAGAAAACGGATGTACAGGCAACCTCCTTACACCGAGATAAACAAACACGTCATTAACTCCCCTACAGCTGCGTCGTCATCCTCGTCAGCGTTAGGTTATAGGTCTTCAGTCATCTATTTGGGAATCGTCTAAGAATCATCTGTCAAGTAATTAAGGATTGACTCACACATTTCAATTTCTCATCGTTTCATTATAAAGGACTAATTTTTTAGGGTCTGTTAATTGTCTGGAGGAGAAACCTCATCCTGAAAATGATAAAACAGAATTGATAATTAACCCATGGGGAAATATTGAAAGACGAGAAACTAAAATACACAAGACGTCCACTGGTGAATGAAGATGGTCACGGTGGTGTAAAGTTGTCGTTTATCAGAGTTGTTTACGTACAGTACATTACACACACATTCAAATTGTTCCATAAACATAAAATAATTAAAAAATACAATTAATTCTCTAAGTTTTCTCAAAAATATATGAATACTAATAAAAATAACACAGTTTTGTAAGACCAACAGAAGAAATCATTGTATATTATAAATAAAATACTCCAGCTAAGACCATCATCTACTAACTCGTTATGAAGTGTTCTCATGTCTCGTGTATATAAATAAGTAAATGTAATCATGGCCAGAAATACAACTATGTAATCTAAGTGCAATTTCATGTTGGCTGAGGTAGGCATAAAGAACCTGTGCTTGGGGTATAATTTGGGAATGTTAAAAAAAAATAAAAAATATACGTGTGTGAAATTTCCATCTGGAGGGTCTTGGGATATTGATCTAATGAAAGTTTGTGATGGGCAAATATTTCTTGCCTGTTACTGGTGTCTGAATACTGATAATGGTATACAGGTGTGAGCGACAGTAAGGGCGTGACAGTGACAGCAAGGGCGTGACAGTAACAACAGGAGTATGACAGTAACAAGAAGTGTATGACTAACTTTAAACATGTGCTATTTTTTCTCACCTGTTGTCTTTCTTCTATCAATAGCTGTAGGGGACGCAGGTGTTAGCATGGGGTGTTGTGGAGCAGCTACCCGAATCACTACAGCCAGGGTGAGTACCTCCGTGTCAATCATCATACATACTATTCCGTGTCATAAACCATACAGTGCCATATACAACTCCAGTGTCAATCACTTGTCAACAACAACCAATGAAATTACGAGCCAAAAAAAAAAAATATTGCATCATAACGTCACAAGATCCCGTTCCATATTCCATTTCGGGAGTTTTTTCTGGTTCAACCTGAAGTGTTATTGTATGCGAGTGTGGCTTATAATGGTGTGCGACATTGAGCCTTATAGATAGGTAAATAGACAAAGAAAGGTTTGTGTCAGAGGAGCCACAGATGGTGTGGTTTTTAGCTGGGGTGTGGCCAGGAAGGTGTGGACGACGTGACTATACACCAAGGACACTAAATAACAATTCAAGGACACGAACAACAAGTCTATCACGCCCATCACCGCTGAAAAGAACATCAACCAAGGAATTAATTCTTTGTTTTATTTATATTGGCAACATTGTCATGCCTTAATGCTGTGCGTTGAAGGACACAAATGCTTCCCTGACGTAATGTTCAAATTAGTTGGATTAAAAGGCAAATAAAGTGAAGAGGCAATTATAAAAGTACATATACGTATTTGGTGCTTTAATGCCCTAACAGAGATCTAAATATATTGGATGACCTCGAAGACCGTTCACAACATTCCGAGTCTCCTTCATATCCACACCATTAAACTGTTTATATAATCCCTGAATAGTGTAGCCTTACTCTCGAGGGAAAAAAAAATATATATATACTGTATATTCCAGAGAAGCGGGTCTTGTGGCCGAACACCATATGTTTTTGTTGTGTAAGCACGAGGCGAACACAGCACAACACACAACACAGCCAGCCTACACTAGTCCACTTTGGTAAACGAACATCAAGTAGGTTAGGTTAGGTTTAAATGGTGGCCTGATAGTGTATACACGAGCCACGAAGCAAACAAAGCCCAACACACAACACAGCCAGCCTACACTAGTCCACTTTGGCAAACGAACATCAAGTAGGTTAGGTTAGGTTTAAATGGTGGCCTGATAGTGTATACACGAGCCACGAAGCAAACAAAGCCCAACACACAACACAGTCAGCCTACACTAGTCTAGGGAGGTTCGTCAATCTTCACTGGGGTAAAAAACTTGTCCTGTTACCTGAACTGCCAGCACCTGTTCGCCCCTCACCTCATGACACACACACCGACACGCATCCTCCCTATTGTCAGGACTGGCCTTGTGTCAGGGAGGATGTTTTGTTTTTTTACTCCACGTGGTTTCTTCTCAGGTGTGAAGCAGATGATCCTGGAACCAAAGCAAACTAAACCGAACCAGACTAAACCAAACCAAACCAAACCAAACCAAACTAAACCAAACCCAACCAAACTAAACCAAACCAAACTAAACCAAACCCAACCAAATTTAACCAAACCAATTCTAACCTAACCTAACCAAACCAAACTAAACCAAACCCAACCAAACTAAACCAAACCAAACTAAACCAAACCCAACCAAACTAAACCAAACCCAACCAAACTAAACCAAACCAAACTAAACCAAACCAATTCTAACCTAACCTAACCAAACCAAACTAAACCCAACCAAACTAAACCAAACCCAACCAAACTAAACCAAACTAAACCAAACCAAACCCAACCAAACTAAACCAAACCAAACCAAACTAAACCAAACCCAACCAAACTAAACCAAACCAAACCAAACTAAACCAAACCCAACCAAACTAAACCAAACCAATTCTAACCTAACCTAACGTTTCCTAACAAATATCGGGATTTAATTAACAAAAATAAACTGGCGGGGATTTTGTCCACTTAATTAATCTAGTGGCGAGATTTTTCCAGTGGTAACTTGTATGGTGTGATTTTCCCCTGCATTGGTCAAGGGAAACTCACAGGCCTCACATTGGGTCCACTAAACCAGGTCACCAGGTACCGGTTCAGATCCACACTGCGTTCATTTGTTAGTACAGGTATATTATCTCTCTCGTCTCTAGGAACTATCTGATTCACCTAATCGCCAAGCACTTACCTGGGAGCTTAGTAAATACAGTATTCTATCTTTTTTTTTAACTTTGACATGTATTTTATATATTCTTTCATAAAAATAGTGACTGAAGATTTAGCAACTGTGGCAATTCCTACAAGATGTCTTCCTCATATGATGGCGCTGCGGAGGTGGCATTAACTCAAGGACAGTACACAGGGAGGAGAGGTAGAGTAACGGGTACACAGCCCCGGACACTGAGGGGGAATGAGTGTATATTATATCCAGTTCTTGTGCGTTGTTATATAAACCTAATTACAACCTGACTTTTCTATAATAACACACGTACAGTAGCTAAAACAACTATCTGTGCATACTTTGTGGGAAACATTATGAGACCATGGACGATAAATTTTGGTATATGAGGGCTGTCACTTAAAATTTCGGAGCATATCGACCCCCCACCTGCACAGATAGTTGTTTTAGCTACTGTACGATCATATATATATACAACATCCTTCCTATTATAACAGTGACACTCAAGACATCAACTAGTAAAATAAAAAATGAAAATATAACCACTAAAATGAAGACGTAGGAGCCAAACTAACACAGACATCAATACATCACGATACAAAAGGTTGGACACACAGTCGAGCCTCACAGCCAAGATAATGGTAAGAATATTGAGCTGCCAGGTTGACTAAGTTGTATATGACTCACCCTACTGCATGATGGTGAAACTGGGCTCACTTACACAACTCACATCAGGACTAAAGCTGTTGAACTGGATTTATCATTCCTGAAAAGATAAGAAATTGAGAAGTGAGAAAATAACTCGAAGATATAAACACTATGAAGTAAAATAATAAAACAAATGAATAACTGAGGGAATATATAAACACAATAAACAAATGAATGACGAAATAACAAGCAACGAAATGAAGTAAAATGAATGGCAATAAGGTCAAAGGAATCAACACCAAGGAAGGGAAGGGAAGGGAAGGGAAGACTTACTCGCAGATGATGTAAAATTTCTTCGTAATCATTTTGTTTCAACTGATAAGCGATCAAATATAAATAATCCTCAATGCGTTTTCTAAAGTTAAACGCAATATATTTTTTTTACACGGTTGTCAGTAATAAAGGCGCCACGAGTCGGATATCACCACATCAATAAGAGTTAAATCATCGTCCTCAAAGAGTTAAATCATCGTCCTCAAAGGGTTAAATCATCGTCCTCAAAGAGTTCAATCATCGTCCTCAAAGGGTTAAATCATCGTCCTCAAAGGGTTAAATCATCGTCCTCAAAGGATTAAATCATCGTCCTCAAAGGGTTAAATCATCGTCCTCAAAGGATTAAATCATCGTCCTCAAAGGGTTAAATCATCGCCCTTAAAGGATTAAATCATCGTCCTCAAAGGGTTAAATAATCGCCCTTAAAGGGTTAAATCATCGTCCTCAAAGGGTTAAATCATCGTCCTCAAAGGGTTAAATAATCGTCCTCAGAGGGTTAAATCATCGTCCTCAAAGGGTTAAGCCATCATCTTCAGAGTTAAACCATCATCCACAAAAGGTTTAAATCATCGTTCACAAAGGGTTAAACCATCACCTTCAGAGTTAAACCATCATCCTTCAAAGGGTTAAACCATTGTTAGCTTAGGTTAAACCAGGCTAAGTTAGGAACTATATCATACAGGTCACCAGGAAATCTAGATGTTTTTTATAACTTATCCAGTAAAGAATTGATATCCTATGCCATCTTATATACAGTACACTTCACCTGGCTAATGGAAGCTATTGATTTACCTGTCACAACACTGTTCAGGTCCACCCTTCCTGCTGCCCAACCTAACCTAATCTAACCTAACCTAACGTAACCTAATTTAATCTAACCTATCTAACGTAACCTAATCTAACCTAACGTAACCTAATCTAACCTAACGTAACCTAATCTAACCTAACGTAACCTAATCTAACCTAACGTAACCTAATCTAATCTAACCCAACCTAATCTAACGTAACCTAATCTAATCTAACCTAACGTAACCTAACCTTTTTGGTGTAACTAAGGTGTTCTCTTGGCCAGGCATGAACATAGGGGGAGGGGGGAGAGTCCAGAGGGAATGCGATAAAGGGGGGGGGGGTTGAAGGGGGGGATTGTGGGAGGAGAGTCAAGTCAACCACACGCAAGGCAACACAGCAGCCACCGCCATCCAGTCTGTAGCTGACCAGCGTGGCGTTGACTCAGTGTGTGTGTGTTCCGGTACGTCTCTCCAGTGAAAAAACTTCCCTTGGTGAAACATTAACTCTGAATATTTAGAAAGAAATATATGTACCTTGTGAAACAGTGTTACATTGGCCTTATATAACCAATAGTACAGGCAGCTAACAATGAAAACGTCAAAGATGAAAATTTTCGACAATACGTGCAGAAAATTAGAAAATTATGACGTCATGTGATAAAGTGTTATTAAACCAACTAATGTGACTCTTAAACCCCAAACTGTTAGGATAAATTAAACCCATAGAACTAAGATAGGAGATCGTCTCACGTAACACTAGGAAAAGTTCTCCTTGCGTCTTCCTCTCACCTCAGACAGCTATTTGTTACCTATAGATGACAGGATCAATCAATTATGTTACAGGTGTATTATTATCGTTTAGGGCATCCTGAGAATTTTAGGTTAGGTGAGGTTGGGTTAGGTCGGGTTAGGTTGAAATTAGATTTTTCCGATGGGCTTTTGATATTTTGACAATTCCTATCTACTTCCAAAAAGGTGGGTGACCGAAACGACAATATCACCACGGTACAGTACAGCAGCGACAACCAAGGTACTGTGTCTCCTTCAGGGCGGCGATATGGAGTACTAGTTAACACCGGTTCCAACCTCCTGTATTCCTGCTTCCGGAACTTCATTGTTGAATCACCAGCAGAGAGAGTGTGTGAGGTGTTGACACTCATTGGGGTTAGGTTAGTGTTATGTGGTGAGGATGCAGAGGCTTGTCATGGA